ACGGCCTACAGGGTGTATAGAGTCTACAGGCTTTTTAGGGTTTGCAGGGTGCTGTGGGGTTTATAGGGTTTGTGGCGGGTGTTTATAGGTTCTACATAGGTTCTATAGGGTTTTAGGGGGTACCCTAAACCATAAACCCTAAGCCCTAAACCCTAAACCCTAAGCCCTGAACCCTAAACCCTAAACCCTAACCCCTAAGCCCTAAACCCTAAGCCCTAAACCCTAAACCCTAAACCCTAAACCCTAAACCCTATGTTATTTGTTTGTAAGGGTTTTTGGGGCCTAATACGTTTTATAATGGTTGTGGGGTTTGAGCCGACCTTTCTGCGCCCAGGAGCTCGCAACAGCGCAGCAGCTGGGGGATGCTTTCAGGCAGGGTTTAGGGTTTAGGGTTTAGGGCTTAGGGTTTAGGGTTTAGGGTTTAGGGTTTAGGGTTTAGGGTTTAGGGTTTAGGGTTTAGGGTTTAGGGTTTAGGGTTTAGGGTTTAGGGTTTAGGGGTAAGCTGAAGGGAAGGGGGGTCAGCCCCTAAACCTTGAACCCGATGGTGGCGATCTTGACGGTCGAATGTTTTTTTTTCTCTCCATGGCGTTTACCACGAACCCAGTAAGATTTTCAGATTTTGCTATCAACATATCGCAAACCCTAAACCCTAAACCCTAACCCCTAAACCCTAAGCCCGAAGCCCTAAACCCTAAGCCCTAAGCCCTAAACCCTAAAACCCTAAACCGAACCCGATTGTTCCCGGCAAAGTACAACCGACGATGCAGATCTCCCAAACACGTCGCTAACAACGCCTATGATGATGATGGCGATGAGGTCGATGCACAGTCGTTCTCTTCTGAAAAACAAGGGTTTAGGGTTTTAGGGTTTAGGGTTTAGGGTTTGCGGGTTTAGGGTTTAGGGTGTAGGGCTGCATGGTTGCCACTAGAAAGCTTTTAGGCCGAGGCCCACCGTGCGCAGGGATCAGGGGCGTGGAATGCGGCCTGAACCGTACAGGGGAATCCCTACACCCTAAACTTTGACCCCTCCCCCGGAGCCCCTACTCGTCCCTTAAGCAAACCCCTAAAACCCCTAAAGCCCCGCAACCTCCATAACCCCCCCCCCCCCTCCCCCCTCAAACCCCAAACCCCAAACCCCAAACCCCAAACCCCAAACCCCAAACCCCAAACCCCAAACCCCAAACCCCAAACCCCAAACCCCAAACCCCAAACCCTAAACCCTAAACCCTAAACCCTACACCCTAAACCTTAAACCCTAAACCCTAAACCCTAAACCTCCCTGCCCCCTCCCCCAAGCTCGACACCTCAAGCTGCAACAGGCGGGAGGCCCTCCGTACGCATCCCGACTGTGGTGGCTCAGGGGCCGAGTTTCGGGCGGTGCTGAGACTCGGCGTAGAGATGTCGTCGGGTTCAGGGCTTGGAGGTTCATGAAGTCTAGGGTTGAGGGTTTGTGAAGTTTAGGGTGAAGAGTTTTAGGGGTGCAGGGGTTTCGGGTTCAGGAGATTGGGGTTGTGAAGTTTAGGGTTTAGGAATTTAGGAATGACGAAGTTCAGGGTTAAAGGCTTAGGGGTAGGGCTTTAGGGTTTATGCAGTCCGGCTTTGCATGCTAGAGGCTTAGGATTTCGGATGCCAGGGTAGAAACTATGCTACCTGCCTACATCCTCAACCCCAAGAGTTGTTAGCAAAAGCCCTCTGTTACAAGTATACAATTGCCCCCCTATGGCAGGGTGGGTGAGTCTCTTTGTTCCTTTCACTTCATCCCTATAAGCCCTGAATCTGAGCACCGCACCTCATACCAGAGGGCTCAGTACTCCCCACAGAGTCTAAAATACAAATATGCTCAGTTCAGACTAAATGATGGTCCATTTTCGGGTGCCCTGAATATCAGGGGCCGCCTTGCAATAGCAACCCCAAAAGGCACCATCATTTAGAGAAGTGATACATACATACATACATACATACATACTTACATTCTTTACATCATTGGCATTGTATACCTATATATATATATATATATATGGCCCCCCCATGATCTAGGTGTCTCTTTTCCCTCTGAAAACCCTCGTAAATGTGTGCATATATATATATATATATAGATAGATATAGATGTTTTTGTTTATTTAGTATTATATTCGTTAGTCCAGGTAGCTGTGGCTCCCTGCAAAACCTGGGCCCAGGAGCGCCTACCGCGCCCTCATGGGGCAGATGGGCCCAGCGGACGCCAGCGTGCTGAGGTGCCAGGGCAAGGCCCCGCCGCGCCAGGCAAAGAGGGCCCCCCGCGCTCTGCGGCCCAAGGCTGGGTTTAGGGTTTAGGGTTTAGGGTTTAGGGTTTAGGGTTTAGGGTTTAGGGTTTAGGGTTTAGGGTTTAGGGTTTTGGAGTACTGTACTTTAAGGCTTTTGTTTGTGGATTCTGGGGTTTCCTGCTAGAGCTACTTGTACCTAAAAGGTATATATTTTGCTCTCAGGGTCGGCTCCACAGTAGGGAAGGTGCCTAGGAGGGTTGTTGCCAGGGTTTATATGGGGGAGTTTGAGTAGGTTCTCGGAGGGGTTTTGGGTACTTTTTTGGGGATGGTTTGAGTAGGTGTCTGATTCTGAGCATCGCGACGGCTTTTGCGGGGGGAGGCTTGAGGCTTGAGATGGTGTAGGTCCAAGTTCATAGGGCTTCGTTTTTGAGATGTCAGGTTCAACCCCCCCCCCCCCCCCCCGCCTCCCTTCCACCCCCTCCTGCCATACCGCCCCCCTGCCCCGCACAGGAGCCGAAGTCCTCGAAGCTCCAGGTCAGCCTCCAGCGCCTCGAGCCTTGGGCTGGCTCTTGAACCTTTTGGGTTCTTGTAGGCACTGCAAGAAGGAGCCCAAAGGTTGAAAACCCTAAGCCCTGAACCCTAAACCCTAAACCCTAAGCCCTAAACCCTAAACCCTAAACCCTAAACCCTTCTTAAGAGGGGTTCAGAAGTCAGCCAAGGAGATGGCGCTGAGGGCGGCGCCGGCCGAGGAGCGGCGGCGGGCGCTGGACCGACTTCCGGCGGGGGTGCGCGCAGCGCTGTACCGACACCTGGACTTGTTGGGGATATTCACAGGGTTTAGAGTTTAGGGTTTAGGGTTTAGGGTAATTTAAGGGTATAGGGTTTAGGGTGTCGGGTTTAGGGTTATTTAGGGTATAGGGTTTAGGGTTTCGGGTTGAGGGTTCAGGGTTTAGGTGGCTTAGGGGGCTTCAGAAAGGTTTAGAGCTACTCCCAAGCCCTGAAAAGTTCTGGACTTCTCGTTTCTCCTTGGGAAGCCGGAAATTAAGGGACCTAGGATGCAGGTTTTCAAGCGAACCCTAAACCCTAAACCCCTTCGACCCGCTGAGGCTGAGTACCTTACCGCCACCCTTTTGAGAAACGCCTGATGTGTCCTGTAGAAAGGCCTTCCTAAGCCCTTAAACCCTAAACCCGAAACCCGAAACCGCTAAGGACACATGCAGACCGGCCGGACCCCTGAGCCCCATTCAGGGCAGGGAGGCTGGCGCGAGGACTGCCTGTGGCTTGCTGGTCAACTTCCCCCTAGGGTTTAGGGTTTAGGGTTTAGGGTTCAGGGTTAGGGTTTAGGCTTATTCAACCCCCCCCTCCCCCCCTAATTGGAAGCTCCCTAAATTATAGTGTATGGGGAATATTTAGTATTGCGGTCATAAAGTCTACCTTTAAAGTAGGTGTTAAGCAGACTTAGAATTGGGATTATAAGTACCCATGAACCTCCAAGTAAGGTACCTGACATGTCATCTTTGTTCATCCCTTGTAGGGATTCTTCTACGACCTCAATTTACCCCAGAAACTCTGGCTACCTTATATCCCCTATATTACCCTTCAGGGCTAAAAACATCTTCCCCTGAGGCGGATTCCACGTGGACCTTTGCTTCCCAAATCTCTAAACCTCAAACCCTAAACCCTACATTCCAAACCCTAACCCCTAACCCCAAACCCCAAACCCTAACGGAAACCCCTAAACCCTAACGTAAACCTCTAAACCCCAAACAACCCCTAAACCCTAAACCCTACATCCCAAACCCCAACCCTAAACCCCAAACCCTAAACCCCAGACCCTCAACCCCAAAGCCCAAGCCCCAAAGCCCAAGCCCTAAACCCCAAACCCCAAACCCTAAACCCCAAACCCCAAGCCCTAAACCCCAAGCCCTAAACCCCAAACCCCAAACCCTAGACCCTCAACCCCAAACCCCAAGCCCTAAACCCCAAGCCCTAAACCCCAAACCCTAAACCCCAAAACCCTAAACCCTAAACCCCAAACCCTGCTGCGAACCTTGTAAGGTGGAACTTCTGGGTGGAGCGGTTGCAGCGAAAGTGTGGAGTGCAGTACAGGGCCGCCCGGGCCTTTTTTTAGCGTCGCCTTTTTAGGGTTTAGGGTTTAGGGTTTAGGGCTAGGGTTTAGGGTTGAGGGTTGAGGGTTTAGGGTTGAGGGTTTAGGGTTGCTTGTGTTGTCGGGCTTGTTTTGATCTACATATGGGAGTTTCCGAAACTGTGCTGTATTTGAAAGCCATATGCTGAACGACCCCAAGAAGCAGCAAGCTGAGCAGCCCAGTTTGAGAAGGGTTTCGGGTTTAGGGTTTAGGGTTTAAGGAGAGTTAAGACGAAGAGCAGCCGCTGTCCCAGGCAAGACAGTTCTTCGGGGTGGTGGAATCCAAGACCCAGTACGTCTTCAGCCTGCAAACGGCTGTGGAGATGCTGGTCAGCTTGAACCAGATTCAGGCCAGCGTCCGCGCGAAGCTCGCGGCCACCTGCGTCAAAGACGTTGACAGCCTCCTCGGCGCTTTTGAGGGCTCCTTGCAGGATGTCCCTAGGAAGCCCCACATGCGCCTCTCCTTCAGAGCCGTGACGCGCTCTTCCATGAGGCTGCAACTGTTGGGGCCATTCACCGACTCTTTGTCATAGTTGGGGAACATTTTACATGTTTAAGGATACTTAAACCCAATAAGGAATATAAATTTAAATTTTTAATACTATCCCAACCATGAACAAGGACTTGCGGAAAGCCTTGGAGCATCGGTTTTTGCTGGATCAAGCTGCCGACAAGGGCTGGCCGTGCCTGCGGGAGGTCTTGACCCAAATCCGGAGGCCACCCAACAAGCGGAGGCTTCGCACGCTCTCCGTGACGGAGGCGGCCGCGTCCGTGGATGGGGCCTACGTGAAGCTGCTGCGCGCACGCTTGGAGCGGGCGTCAAAGGCTGCAGAGTTCGCGCTTCGGACATGTCCGGCAGACCGTGCTGGCCACTGTCGCCTGCGCAAGATGCCAGCTGCAGCAAATCACCGGTCGAGGTGCAACCGGTGTAGACTCATATGCAAGGCCCGCCCGGCACAATGACGGGAGGCTGGCAAGATATACCATGACATACCGCAAGCCATGGGATCGGGTTGCAGTGCTGCAGATAAACAGATGACCGGCTGGGGGAAGGCTCCAGTCCGCGCAGCACCAAATGCACATGACTCCGCCCATGGTTTTTGTGGCAAAGCACAGCCGTGGCTCGAGCTTGGAAGCTCGAGAGGGCTCCAAAACTTAGCATCTGAGTCTCCGTGTATACATCGCGGCAGGTGGCAGATGCTTCCTCTGAAGTGAAGCAGTTGCTGCAGAGAGATACCTGCCGCTTTGGCAGTAGATGCGAGGAGACGTGACAGGACAGCTGTGAAAAACTAAGGACGAGAATGCCTTGGCCGATTGACCCCAAACCTGAACTCTGGACACTTCGACCCTAAACCGTTACCCTAAGCACTAAACCCTAGGCGCACGAAACCCTAATCCTTAATCTCAGGGAACCCCATACCTCGAAGTTTTCATCCTCAACCCGGAAGCCCCAAAAACACCCAATCTAGGGGCCTAGCCAATCAGCAGGGCTTTTCTGTGTAGTGTTTCGGGCTGTAGGGTTGAGGGTAGGGTTGAGGGTAGTTGTTCTTTTGTAATGTATGTTGGGGTTATGAGGGGAGCGTTTCTGTACTTGTGCAGGCTCCATCAGTTTACCAGTTTGCTGGTTGAGGGCTTGTGCTGAGGTGAAGTCCCAGCAGGTTGTGCAGGAACAAGTGGAGTAGCTAGTTCCCCTGAACCTACACCTACTTGTGAAACTGTACATACTTTTGTTAAACATGCTCAAGGCTACTGTTCGGGCCTATAAGCAACAAAGGAAAACTGCATGATACAACTGCTACAGGATGACATGTACAGGAGTAGGCTTCAACACTCCTCCTTCGCAACACCGCTAGGGTATTGCGACAAACAAAACCTGTACATGTCCGTCCCTTCCGGGAGGAGGTACAAGCTCCTACCGAAGGAAAGGCTGTAGCTGGCCGGCTGGCCTCAGAGTGCGAGGGCTCTCACGGCACCTCTTTGCAAAAGAAAAGCACTGCTGGCAGGACTGTGCAATGGGACGCACAACCTACCCGTCAGGGCGGTGGATGCCCTAACGTGTGCTATGCTTCGTGCAGTCTGCCTGGCTCCTGTGGCACTGCTGCTGGCAGACCTCAAACTCGATGAATCTGTGTGAATGGGCAAGTGTGGAACAGGCCTTAGTGCGATGAAGCTTGTTGCCTTCTGGCGTTGCAAAGAAACGAGTTGGTGCTTCATCGGCCTGCGTGGTAGAAGCTGGCGCATTCCTCCCGGAAGCGGTCACAAGACGCTGTGAGGAACTGGCGGCTGCTTCCCTCTCAGAGATTTCTGCCCGGATTGCTTGCTCTGTGCGGTTCCTAAGACGTTGCAACTTGCGTGCCTTGCGCGGGCTTAGCAGCACGCTGCTCGTGCCAAAGGTCCTGCGGGACAAGAGGGCAAAACTCCACTTCAGAAACTCCCACAAAACAATGGCACAAAACGCAACACCGAAAATGCAGACTGCAAGCATCAGGTCGGCGTCTAAGGGAACTGGAAGCAACATGTCTTCGGGCTCTTCATCCTGCTGGCTGGCGGCACTTACGACTTGCAAAAAGACAAACAGCATGAATACCGCACAAACAGGATGATCACGTTTGCGGAACAGGTAAAACCCTGGCATGCCCCAACAAACTGCTGTCACAAGGCCATCTGCTGCTGCAGCTAAACGCACAGTCGTGAGCAGCACACGTTCTGCAAGGGGTTGTTGGGACTCCTCCTGGACAGGAGGCTCCGGCACGACACCGCTCAAACCCCACAACCTAACGCACGGCTCCTCCTCGACCCAGTACGGTACTGGAGTGCCTGAAGCTGCTGCGGGCGGGTTCCGGACACCAGGGCACGGTGCAAACACTGCGCCACGCACGCCAAGCAACAACAGACACAATAACAGCAGCTGAAAAAGGAGGTTTGCCGTCAGACGTTGGCGTGCGTTGCGGGTCCCGCCCTCCCTCGGGGAGGTTGCTGGAACTGCAACACTGCTGGGCACTGTGGTTTCGCGCTCTCCTCCTGGCCTGGTGGCTAGGTCCTGGCGGTTTGTTGGCTGGACCTCACGCGGCCCAAACACGCACAACCCACCAAAACCATCTAAACTAAACCTGCCCGGACAACACGGCAGTGGACCTGGCACCTGTGGAGGCCCATCTCTTCCGAGTGGCGAGAGTGGCAGACGAGTCCAGTCCAAATCATAGACGCTTGAATCCCCATCACCATCATCAAGCTGGCATCGTGTGGGGTTGTCGTCACACTCATCGTCGGCGTCCAACCTGAACCAAATGGTTGAGGACTGCTGCAGGCACACTTTGGGATCCAAACCTTGGGTCCCACAAACCCCCTTTTTTGGCTCCAAAAGGGGGGTTTGCCCTGGCCAAATGGGCGCGGTCATTTGGGCACTTATTCCATGTCCCCACCCTGGCTTCAGACTTGGACTTACGTGCTCATCCTGCCCTCCAAGGGGCAAGCCAAAGGCCTGAAGTGCTTTGGCTATGACGAGGGTTGAAGAGACCTCGTTTGCAGCGCGGTTTGCAAACGTGCTGCGTGCGTTTTCACGCTGAGCCTCCAACTCAGCGATTAGCGTCAATGCCCTATCACGCTCAATCACAGGGCAACCGTTCTGAACCATCAACGTGGTGAGCTCACCCTCAGGGGAACGCAAGAAACGCTCATCAGCTGTCCAACTCAACATGTACCCCAGCCGCGCGACAAGCTGTCCTAGGGGCACAATTGCAGTCGGCAGCTCATCCCTCCCGGGAGGCGTGAGTATCACCCCATGCTTGGTGATGTGCATGTGTGATGTGTGGCCCCCCGCTAAACCAACCCGCGCCTTGTTTGTCTTGACCCACTCCTCCTGCGACGATGCTGGCCGTAAAGGGTGCGTGGCCCCTGAGTCTAGAAGGGCATGTCCAATGAAAGGTGGCTCGGAGGGCTCAGGAAAACTCCCGGTTTGGGGACCCGAAACCGGGAAACAGCTCGCAGGCATGAGTGAGCGTATTGTGAGCCTCTTGAGGGATGGATTTGAAGGCTGCTGCACGCCACCTCCGTCAGGAGTGGGGGCCGCTGGGGCAGGCGCAGTAGATGCTTGACCCTGCGACGGCTGTTGCCCATGAGTGGCATGCGCAGCTTCAAGCTGCCTCAAGGCGTGGGATGCATGCTGAAGGAAGGACTCCATGGATAGAACAGGCGTGGCCTGGACAACGGGCGGCGCGGAGGATGATGTGGAGGTGGAGGCTGCCTGGACTGACGGCTTCTGTTCCGGCGCCGTTGGCTCGGCCTTTCCAGCCTTGCAATCTTTGACGCGATGGTCCTCAGAGCCACAATTTAGGCACTTCTTAAACCTTTCAGCCGCTGGCAGGTCGCTCATGGAGTGAGGAGCCTTGCATTTCGCACCGAACTTGCACCCCTTAGGCGTAAGAAAGTACTTGCACGGCTTAACCTTCCCCCCACCCTTAGTTTCACCCCCCTTGCCCCCCGACTTCCCCCCCGTAGCGTCCATGGCCTTCAAAGCGACATTGTTGCCTGACCCACCCTGTGTGGCAATCTGTGCTCCAGCCATGGTTTCAAACTCGGCTAACAAGTGCTTGTAATACTCCTGAACCGCATCTTCCGAAGGGTGAGTCTCGATGTGCAGCATGCTGCGAACCATCTGAGTTCGGAACATGGGGTCCGGGTTTTGCCTTAGGATATGGTTGGTCATTTCGGTGAGGGCACCGGCAAGAACTGTAGGATCTGGGGCTACCATACCGCAGTCAACGCAGCGCTTGTGCCACCTACCCCATGCCCTCAGCGCGGACACACCTGACACCACATCCTGAACAACATTGGGATTTTGCAGGTGATTCAACACCAATGCCTTTTCCGTGGAACCTCCCGGCTGATACAACGTGTAAAGCCGAAACATGATTTGAGTGGCTACTTGACATGAGTGGTCCTGCGAGCTACCATTTCCGCTTTTACCCCTTGATCTAGGGCTGCTAAAATCATGGCGCACGCACGTGCATTGACCCTGGACCACTTTCCCTCCACCAGCTCCGGGCGCTCGTCAACCTCTACCCTGATGCGATCGAGCGGAGTAGCCTTAACCCACCTTTCATATGCGTCACGGCTCACCTGCAGCACTGCGGTCCACCAATCATGCGAGGAATCGGACAAATCACCCATCAACCCTGCAACTAACTCCAACCAATCCTGAAAATCCAACGAACCACTCATCGGATCAGGAGCTTTCAGCATGGGAAGTGCAGTAGTGCCTGGCTTGACGGCTTCAGGGGCGTTGCTAACAACACTCTTATCCCGCATGCCCTGCGCCTGCATGGTTTGAAGCTGCTGCATTCCTGCAAACAAGGCATCCATCATGGGATTGCCTGAGGTAGCTGCTGCACACGGCGTTGCACTTGCTGCAGGTGCTCCTCCTGGAGCTGCACTGGCCTGGGCACCTGATACCTGTGTAAGCGGCACCTGTGTACCTGCGCCTGAAACCTGTGGCACCTGTGCATAGGCAGCGGGTCCAACCCCTCCGGGCGGAGACGCGGGCACCTGTGTACCTGGCACCTGAGGCACCTGTGGCATTCCTGAGCCTTGAGGCCAGATCTGGCCCAGACCCAGGTTTTCGGCCTGAGAAGGGGGGTTTGGAGCAGAACAAGCCAAATTCACCTGTGCTGCGTCGTAGGACTGCCCGACCCCTCCGGGCGGGGTTGCACTGCTGGGCAACCTATGGGAACCCTGCAACCCTGACCAGAAGTTGGACCAAAACCCTGACGCGGCTGCTGCTGCAGCTTGAGCGGGGCGCTCTCAAAGCACCAACCGCCGGCGCTGCAACATCCTGCACCTGATGCGCAGAGGAAGTGTGGACCTGAGCATCTTGCGACGATGGCACCTGGAGGGGTATGGGGACCTGCATTTGCGGTGGGGCCTGCGGGGCACTGCTTGAAGCTGCCGCCCCTCGCCAACTGCTC